ATAGCACCTTTAAGACTAAGACTAACTGAGTGGTGGGTGTGGCCTTATGACACACGTCCGGTGATGTCAGGGTGTGTGGCCTTATGACACACTTCCGGTGATGTCAGGGGGTGTGGCATATGCTAATGAGTTATGCTAATGAGTTCCCCTAGTTCTTTTTCTACGAAACGACCCCTGAGCTGTAGCAGGTTAACCTTTTTGGAAGTTAACCTGTTCGCAATAATTTAAATGTACCTACATGAATACGTCATGTAAAAGGTTCTGGATCTGGTTACCAGACTAATGAAAACAGAAATTAGTTTCACTGACATGTTTAACAATCATTTGCGACATCTGCTCTGTTGTCTACATAAGACCTTGAATGGGAGTCCATGGTTTGAAGCTGCACACGTATCAAATGTCTCTTTCATTGCTGAACAGTTATATAATCGATCTTTAAAAATAAAATAAAAATAAAATGTGCTTCTTTTTTTGTAAGTAAAATTTCTTCCTCTTGTTACCATTGGAGTCAGGTCATCTTTATCACTTGTTGGAATATCATTTTTCCCTTAACCGGGAAATTTGAAGGATTGGGGATACTGCAAAAAAACAACAACACCCTTCTGTGCTTCCAAGGCAAATGATCTCTTTTTAAAATCATTTTAACCAAATAAAAGCTCCTTCATCAGATATCTGGCAAAGGGAACTCCTGTTGGTCTCTAAGGTGGGATTGGACTCGAATCGAGTTATGATGTCACCATATCCTGAAGAAATGACGTGTGAGTGCTGATGGAGGTGTTTTCAGCATGGGTGTTGCCCCCCCACCCCAGAGAAAAAATGTAAAGTTTAAAAAAGCAGAGCGTCCCAAAACATTATTTGCATTTATTTTACAACAAATCATAGCTGTGTCCCTTCTGGTTCTTGTCTCCCCTTTGAAAATACCTTGGTGCTCATGCTAACAGTAACATGGAAGAAAACAGAGACACGTGCAAGCCATCAGGATGTGGACACGCGGCCATCTCACGCCCCCGATCCCCCCCCACACACACCTAGTCTTATGAGTGTCCTGCAGCTGACAGGCTTGCCGTAGCTCTATGTTTCGAGACCGAAGGATGGGCGGCTCCCGGGCGGTCCTCTGGCGTTCAGTTCAAGGCGTTTGCAGTTAAACAGTCACACAGGGTTCGCTTCTCCACTTTGAAAAGCAAGGTTTCTGTCTGCATAAAGAGGGGAGGGAAGAGAAGAAGAAGAGGAGATTGGATTTCTACCCCGCCCTTCACTACCCGAAGGTGTCTCAGAGCAGCTTACAGACTCCTTTCCCTTCCCCTCCCCACAACAGACACCCTGTGAGGTAGGTGGGGCTGGGAGAACTCTTCCGAGAACTGCCCTTTCAAGAACAGCTCTTATCAGAACTATAGCTCGCCCAAGGTCATCCAGTCAGGTGCAAGTGGAGGAGTGGGAGAATCAAACCCGGTTCTCCCAGATTAGAGTCCGCGCACTTAACCACTGCACCAAAGAGGCTGTGTTAGGGGGAAAGGCTTCT